TTTAGTTGGCATGAAATTGGGTTTCCCACGTAAAAGTCCTCTTTTGTTAAACTAATGTAACACTTTAATTACAATAGTAACTCTAATAATTCAAATTACTATATAATACATATATAGATTAATAACTAAATTTATTAAAATTTTTGACGCATAATTTATTTATTCAATTCAATTACACATATAATCTATATTTTTTATAAGTTTAACAAAGAATTATTATTTAAATATGTTCACATGCAACACAAGACGTGCATTACTAACCTAATTTTTATAAAATCAATTCTGTCCTTATACCTTCATATAATTTTTATTTTTATTTGTAATTTGACTTCTAAATTATTTTTGACTCTGTTATAAATAGTACGCTTACATCAAAATTTTCATACCTATGCCTATATATATATATGAAGAAGCAAAGACGAATGTGTATTATAGTTGTTACATACATATAGTTATCAAATTGGATTCTAAGATAAAATATATGTTATATTTTTAAAAAAATTAACAATTAGGTTTAACTGGAAATAAAATATAGATTAATTTTTTGATAATAAATTTATTATTTAATTTAATTACGCATAAAATTTATATTCTTATAGATTCAATAAAAAATTATTATTTAAATTATTTATGTGTAACGTACATCGTACATTGCTAGTACATATTAAAAAATTAGATATTTGCACATAAGATTTTAGAGACACAATAAATGTATAAATTTAGTAATATAATGGTAAGACGAAAGTCTTTTAAGTAGGTGGGAGTTTAAATTTGAGGTTTTTTTTGTTTGCATTGAAGTTTTTACTTAATTATTTTTTTTAAAACACACCAAAAACACACACACGAAATAGTAAAAAAAAATATGTGTTATAATAGTTTACTATTAAACATCCTATTAACATTCATTATTAGGAAAATTATTTTACTATATTAACACATTTCAATTCTTTTTCTCTATATATTTAATTGATAGCAGACTTTATTATATTTTGACATATAAATTCAACTTCAATTAATGAAATTATATACGCAAAACTTAAATGTAAAAGCTCAATTTGTATTTTTGAATCTCAAAAATAAAAAAAATATTTTTAAAGAAATAATATTACTATTTGAATAATTATTTTATCTTATCTTATTGTATTATTAGTAATTGTCCGTGCCTGAAGGCACTATACAACAAATAAAAATATCGCAAACAATTGCTTATTGCCAAAGGCATTGTGTAACACAACAATCTCCAATAATAATAGTAATAATAATAAATCCCAGTATACCTATGTCTGGTTCAAATTCTTTGTTAATTCAAATCAATCACTATACATTGGTTCATTGCAATTTTAATTTTTAGCCCAACATAATCAAGAACAAAATAAACGAAACATAAGTTTTAATATGAAAAAGGCAGATTGTGTTTGAATCCAATACAACAGAGACCTAGGCATTATTCGTACTTGAAGGCACTATATAACAAATAAATGTATAGAGAAGAAACCCATGCACATACACAGGTAATTGGATTTCTAAATTTCTTCTCTTTCACCATTTGAGTTAAATCTCCCCAACTCATTTCATTTGCAATAGCAAAATTCAAAGAAAACTTAAATGCAAAGCAAAATTGTGAGCAAAAAAAATTGCTACAGATATTGTATAAATTCTATCTATATATTAAAAAAAAAAACCTGCTTATTTCATCAAAAATTCAATACAAACATCAAGCAAATACAAAGGGCAACTCATATGAAATTTCAAGCATAAACACACATAAAAAAAATTGCCCTTAAAGCACAGATATGGAGTTGCAACTCCAGTAACACCTACTACATTTTCCTTCCCAGCAACTGCATTTGTTTCGTCTATTTTCCCCTCTTTGACAGTAACTCTGTTTTTTCGCTTAGCAACACAATCAATGTTACCTTTTCCAACCAAAAAAAGGTTTCTGCAAGTTATCAGAAAATTTCATTAACATCCTAGGAGCATACTGATATTAAAAAAAAAAAAAAAATAGTAGCTGCAAAGTGAAAAAAGGTAAAACAAAAGGAACACATTGCCAGAATTCAAGCACCCTAACTATTACCCTTCTTCAAATAATCAACTTAAAATCAACAACTTATTCATAATTGTTAGCTACCTAGCAATTGCATCAGATGACCAGTACAATAAGTTGGAGCAGAAATGTAGCAACTATACAATAAGCATGAAAAAAATTCCTTCAACTGTTGCAGTTATGCTCTACTTCATTGCAACAGCTGTACACATCAATAGAATTGACTTTACTTTGCTATAATAGATGTTTGCTTTGATTGTGTTTTCTCACCAATCTCTAAGTCTACTAACCATTCAACTTCATGTTAAGTCATAAGTTATGACATTCGAATTTTGTTATTTCAATAGCCAAAACTATCGTAATCCAAGAATTCAAACAATCCCAAAGATGCTACAATGGAATGTTTGTGCATAAAAATGTGAATTCAACAATAATCACCAAGGTTTTTCACAACAAAAAAAAAACAATAATCATCAAAGTGAAGAAAACAAAATCGAAAGTCACTAAATATCCAGTGGAGGATTTAGGAATATAATATATTTTGTATAGAACTAGAACCTTTTCACCAAGATAGATAGTCTCCATATCAACAGAAATGGAATTTCGACTCCGCTATGGTTGTCGGTGCTCTATGTTTGAGAAAAGCTGAATTATTAAAAACTTGGAGCAATCATTGGTTATTAATCACAATGTGGACTAAAGAAAAATCAAACTCAACCAAATGTCATGACTATATGATCACTCACACCCAAAATCAATAATCAAAGCAACGTAAAAGTGTAAGATTGTGGAAGAAATAACAGTCTCCAATCCCTATTGAAAACTACAATAAGCTTCAATTACTATTAGATAACAATCTTGCAAAACACTATTGACTTAAATTAATGCCATTAAAAATTCTCTAGTTACATGAATTCTAAATCTTTATACCACCACAACCCCTCAACCCAATTGCTTGCATCACCATCTTTATTAGTAATCAACATTCAAAATTAAATAATTAAACAAACTAAAACCAAAAAACCATAACTAATCCCAAATGGATTGTATCTATTTCAAAACCAAACATTGCAGCAAAAAAAATGGTAACTTGAAGAACATACATGAAAAGGATGAACTAAATATCAAGTCACATACAAAAAAAAAAAAGGAGAGAAAAAATACCGAGTGATTCAGGTTATGTAATCTGACAATAGAGTATAATTTTACCTTCGGATTCATATATTCTTATGTATGGTGACAAATGGAAGGAATGGGCTGCTACAACCAATCAAAAAGAATATTCTCTGTTCCTTTCTTCCCCATCCATAACATTTATGCTCTTCAAGGTGCAATACACAAAATGGTATCAGCTATAGAGTGTACACCTTCAAATTGAAAAACAAATCTCTCACAAATAGACAAATGCACACACACAAAGGCACAGAGTACCTAGAGTAGCTCGTTTGTTTGGAAACTTGTTCTCCCAACATAATAACAACATTCTAGCATTCTTTATTCCTGATGGTGATTTCCCTGGAACAGGTGGTGTGCGTGACTGTATGGGTGAGTTTTCTGGGCTGAGATGTTTTTGGTTGGGGAAGTTTTTGGCATGGGTTTTTGGGATGAGAGGGGTTTTGGATGAGTGTAGGTATGTGTAGATGTGTGTTGTGTATGACATGTGTGTGTGTTGTGAATAAGAGGAAGAACAGAGAAGACAAGAGTGGGGAGAGAGAAGAGAATGAGACTAACCTTGCAGCCGATTTTGCATTCTATAAAAATTCTGGCTTATTCTCCATGGGTCTCTAAAATCAAGTAATTTCATGATGGAACAACAATCTAAACTTTATCCAATTAAAATATCTATCACCAATATATACATTCAAACTATTATACACCAATTTCAAAAACCCTAGCATTCGATTTCCTACAAAACACCCAAATTAATACCTAATTTTAAAAAAAAAATAGAAAACATTAGAAAAATATATGTTTGTTGTGTGTGAATGTTAACGTGTGCGTGTATGTGTGTGTGTGATCTGCTAGTTTGTTTGTTTGTGTGAGTTTTTGTGTGTGTGTGTGATGTGCGATAGGTGTGTGTTCGAGTGCCTTTGTGTGTGTGTGTGTGAAAGAGAGGTGAGACAGAGAAAGTGCAATTGGAAAGAGATGAAGACAAAGAGAGACAGAGAAGGATATGAGAAGTACCTGGGATGCTTGCTAATCGGTGGTGGGTTGAGTCATGGCAAAGAAGCGAGAGGAGAGATGTAGAAGACATATTACATTGAGACAGAGAGAGAGATAAGGAAGAGGGAAAGAGAGAGAGAGTTGTTGGGTGAGATAATGATGGACACTTAGATGAGAGATAAGGAAGAGAGGAAGGGGTGTCGGGTGAGGATAGAGATTAAAAATGGAAGAGAGAGGCGTGAGGACGAAATGTTGTTGGGCGGGAAAACAAAGTTTGAGACTATTTGTAAACCGTTAGATCAACATTTTTGAGATGATCTGAATCGTTTTTTATCTTGAGATTACGTTGTTCGTTAGATGTATTTATATTTTTTCTCAAAATAATATGAACCACTCATTGTCTCTTGGTTCAAATTTAGTTCTACTTTATTATATAGATATTGTCACGGGAGCTATCTAATGTTTTCGCCTATGACCGGAATGTAAACTCAAATTTAGGATGATCCACCCCTATTTGCTACTTGTTCATACTTACTTGAAAATGTTCAGACAATAGGCAGCGATTCAACTTTAATTTTTTTTCTATTTTTAGGTATGGTTGTCTTAATAAAGTACATGCCCTTTTATGGCCACCCTGACACTTCGCAAAACCTTTCATTTTTCCACCCTCCATGCACACTATATTAACCCTTCCATTCCCTTATATTTTGATTGCAGTCTTTCTCTAAATCAGGAAGAGAATTTCTGCATTTTATATCAAAAACTCTCTAATTTCTTTGAATTCATAAAAATGGCACGCCAAATTGTTGTTCTTGCCCTCATCTTCTTCGCCATCGTCGGGATGGCCTCAGCGACTGCTGAAGTTCCGGTCGCCTCAGCCGATGGCCCGATAACTCCAGACGTGGTTGATCCTAATGTTATTGGCACTACTGATGGTAGCAGCGATGCAGCACCCATTGGTAGCCCTGTTTCTGAAAGTGCTTTCCCAAACCTCGCCCCCGTCCCATCGGCTAAAAGTGGTGCAGTCACCTTGGACGTTTCCTCCATTGCCGCTACTGCAGCCGCCACTTTTGCCGGTTTCTTCTACTTCTAAATTAGATACTACCATGAGGCACAAGAAGTGAAAATGGTTGATATTCTTTGCTTCTAGGTCTTTTGGAATCAAAAAAAGTGGAGAATGGCTGTGATGATTATACTAGTATCAATATTACTGTTTCAACTTTCATGCACAAGTATTGTATGATATTCAGAGCAAAAAATAAAACAAAAGCCTAGTTATTTTTGAGATTCTGTCATTTTCGACATCTTTAATGTTCAAATTTGTAAGGATTTGAAAAGTTACTTGTTACCATAACCACTGTAATAAATGGTAAAAGCTTCAATTTGAAACCCAAAGACATGTATGGGGTACATCTTAAATGTTATGAAGAGTTGAATAAAGAGAATTTATACTGCTTTTTAATAACTAGATGATGCACATGCACATGAATCATTTTGAACTACAATTTTGATGGACAATGTATTTTAGGTTTACTAAATATGAATATAATTTCATAGTTTTAAATCATTTAAAGAATCAAATACATCAGTAATACATGAGAAAACGAGTGACATTGATCTTTTATACCCAATATTTTTTCTTATAATTTGTTGTCCATTTATT